GTTTGGTTTTGTTTTTTTTTTTTCAATTTGCATACAGACGAAGGTGCTACACTTTATTGCCTACTCTGTTGTAGACTTCTCTAACTCTTTAAACGAGGAAGTGGTACACATCACATAGAGCTAACATACATACATAAAACTGTTGGAATAAATTAAGAACACATTAATAAATTCGATTTCCAGATTTTTCTATAGGTATTCAGAAAATGAAGATACTACTGCTTTGTACATAACATTCTTAGGTACTTGCACCAGTTCTTAATTGTCCTACACTTACTGTTATCAGCACTGTTACTGAGACTAATAACAGTAACTCACATTCTCAGCTTGCTGCACTAAAACAAACTGCTGTATATAGAAAAATACTGCTATCTGCAGATGGGGATCCATAACTGGATTATAAGCACAGGCTTTATTACAGGTGGATTAATTAAAACTTTTTTCCCCTCACACCACAAGACTCCTGTATGACAAAATCCACTGAAGTTTCTCAACTTCTGTTGAATTATTCTCATTTATATTCTTGATGGAAGAATTGTAATTCAGAATTTAGGGAACCAAGATTCAAGTTTCCATTTACTACGTATTTATAGAAAGCAGAACAGCTTTAAAAGCAAAGTCTTAAAAATGCAGAACACACAGCTAGACACCCACCTATAACATGAAGCCAAGCTCAAAATCTAGTCTGAGGCACAGAAAAGACTACAGGAACAGTGAATCCACAGCAGGATAAACAAATCTAAAACTAGATGTCCAGACTTCAACCCCCCGCCACCTTGATCAGTCTGAAAATGAATTGTAACAGCCTTCCTCTATAAAGGTGGCTTCCAGATGGATCAAGGAGCTGATTTCTATCAGATACAAGGTTATTAAGATGCAATGCACAGCAAGGTCTGGGAAGGACTGCCCTTTCAATACAAGCCTGCACTTTATGGTATTTCAAGCCAATTCTGGATCAACGAGAATGGTTGCAAGCAATCGGTCAGTGACCACACTAGAACAGCAACCTCATTTAACCAAAAATTCTATCCTCTTGAAATCTGCAAATAAATTTCTGCAAACAAGTTTATTTCTATACCTTCACCTTCTCACCATTACCTTTCGCCAACAGCAATTCTTATCTGTGGCACTTATAAACATGAGGAATAATTTAGTAAAGAGATTAATTTCTAGGGGATCAAAAACAGTCTTATACATCCACAACTGATACAAGCTTAATAGATTAATAGAATTTCCTAAATTAAAACTTCTATGTTATGAAACACTGCAGAAAGTAGCCTACTGAGAGATTTTTCTCAACTGATCTAATAACGAATTTTGCTTTCATTTAGAGTATCTTTACAGCAAGAACAACTAATCCTTATTACCATCTAAATGAGTACTAGCTATCAAACTACACTGTCAGATATGATAAGGTATTCTAGAGCAAAACATGCAGCGAAATTAAGTCAACAGCAAAACGCACTATTAATAAAGATATGGAAAAGCATTTTGCAGGTTATTTCCTTGTTTGCCATGTATTACCATAACAATTTTATTACAGGAGAAGATCAATTACTTGTCACCTAGCTTTTCAAATTTAGCTGAACTGCCTTAAAATTTGCCCTTGTACCTTCCAATAAACTGAATTACCTGGGATTAAGTAAGGCACGAGCGTTAACTTCAGGGCTAAATCTCTTAAGAAGCAGTTAAAATCTTGTGATTTTATGCAGGAGAGGTATATGCACATTCAGACTCCTGAGCAACAGCAGAAAAGTGGACTAGGTATGCTGTGTGGCATTTAAAGGTACAACAAATGCAGTGGTCACTACATGAACTAAACTAAAAACTAACCTCATGAAATTAAAAGCATGAGCAAGTATGTTGGGAATTTGCAGCTGAGGTTAAAAATTTCATGACACTCGATATCTAACTTACATACTTTACATTTCTTTCCAAAAGTTTTCTACTGGAGTTACAATAGAAAATTAGTTAGAAAATTAGAAAAACAGTTAGACAGCTACACACCAAGAGTGTATTTTTATGGTATTTACTGTTTCATTTCGCCTCCTTCCTTTTATTTTGGAAGCTTTCTGTTTTGAAGAGTATACACATATTCCCTCCAGAACTGAGGGTATTTGTGCACTGTATTTCAGAAAAACTTTTGAAAGGACAGAGTCACTGAAATACCTTAGCTATAAAATTTAAAATAATCTGTGCTACTGACCTGCTTTTTGTTCCTATTCTTATTAAATTATCAGCACAAAGTTAGTTTGTTGTAGATTTAAGTTCTAATGTTTCTACAACAGTGTTGTACACCCATAAGATAGAGTCATAAAAAAGATTTGGTGTTTTCTGTACAATACAAAAATCACTAGGAAATTCAGTCCTATGCTATTGTGTTTGTTACATGCATAATTTAGAATTTATAAACACTGAAACCAGGTGTAAGTTACCATGTATGTATATTAAAGATACAGGAAGGGGGTGTGCACATACACACACCCCTATCCCTTTAATTCAAGTGTACTACACACCCTATCCTTTTACGTTATGATTCTTAACTTGCATTATGTACAATAATTCCTCCAATGTACATACCATTTTGTATTGTAACTTTAATATAAAAATTACATAGTTCATATCACCATATTAGACCACATGAACCTTTTCAATGCCTAAAACTTAACAAATAATTCTGTCTATTCCAAGAGAAATATGTACATCTTATTTGTGTACATGTACAAATAGGTATTAAATGCACATTAAAAAGCCTGATGAAAATTTAAGGAAAAAACAAATAAAAAACTATTACAGAACAGATATGCAACTTGTTACCTGAAACAAAGTTTAAAGGTAATCTTCTAGGTGAAACTGCTCTGGGATGTCTTTTACTAACTTCTTCATAAATCTGAAGCCTCTCTTCTAAAGTGCCTATTATCAGTAAATATAATAGATGTAAGTAACAGAGAGAAAAAACTATTTTTCTGATGTTTTTAAATGTTGAGAGTTAATTTAGCTAGACTTCTTACACAGTTTGGATTTGGAACATTTTAAACATTTCAAGCTATTTTCTCCAGTTAATCATAAACATTGCTGTGTAAAACTGTGTATTGAAACACACTGTATGTACAATACACAACTACCGGAATTAATCACTGTAAGGATAAACTGCAAACAGAACATCTATCTTGCACTATCAATCATACAGTGCTAGAGTTTCATTTCTTTGTTACATGCTGTGCAGACCCATTCACACAGTAGTTTGACATTCATAGCTTCAATTAACTGTTTTTCACTATGCATCTGTTTCAGACATACTTAAAGAATCCAGAGAAATATATCACATTTCTAAGTCACAGGTATACAAATAGCATACTATAGAAGCATGCTTTTATTATAGGTACTCTGGTGGCTGCAAAAACAGGGCACAACACTGCCAGTGTAAGCACTGAGCACCAGAATTCTTAATACCTTAATGTTTAAGTAGCTTTATTTTTGTTAAATGTTATCTTCCCACTCCTCCCCTTTCCCCCATAATATGCTTTGGAGCTCCAATGTGGTTAGAACTTAAACAAAACTAATCTGTTGCTTTGAAATGCCATTTTCACATTATTAAGATCAATTTTGCTTAAATATTTTTAAATTGATGAGCAATTTAAATCAAATCAAATGTACAGATCGAGACTATGACACAACATATATTTAATAAATATAGCTGTTTTCATTTCATAAGAAAAACAATTTATCTTGTCACTGAGCTCAGATGTTGGGGAAGGGGGGGGAATATGTTACCCAGTGGCTCCAAGAGATGTACAGTTCTAAGAGTTATCCTAAAATAATGTTTGGATTGGAACTAAAGCATATAAAAGCCCTAATTGAAGTCACAAGTTGGAGCTCCAGAACTTACCATGGGGGAGGAAATAGTCCTAAGACCACCTAAAAAATAAAGTAGCATTATTAGTTTTATGAATTAGTACAGTTTTAATCTACACAGGATTTTAATATGTCAAATAAACTACTGGATTTGTTCTTTGGTAAGAACTACACATTTTCACTAACATATTCATTATATCAAACAGAATAATCATGTTCTTGGGTCATTTATTTTCCGAGACAATAACCATGATCTTCAACTGTACAGGTACACTAGGGAAACCATTCAAAGGGCAATACTACTCTCTGTATAAATATAACAAAAGCAGTAATTTCCATTTCCCAATCACAAGCTGTATTCACAGATTTTATGAAACCCAACTGTAAAACTGTCTAAAAGAAAGTTGGTTGAGAAATACAATGCAGCCATAATATCTACAAATCATATCCTTGTGGGCTTATGATTTATGATGTCATCAGAATAATTCCAGTAAGAACTTTCACTAATTAGTGAACAATGAAACACAAGGCAACCATTCCTCTGTAGAGGTAAACACTTGGGAAAGTTACCACTGCAAAACACTTCCTATAGTATAAATTGTTGCACTATTGTAATTTAAAAAAATAATTAACTATTTTCCTAGAAAGACAGAACAGCACTAATGTGGAATAACACAGATTATCACATATATCACCTTTTCCTCCAAAGAACAGTCAGCTTTAAAAATTTTTTTTTTTTTTTCAGATGGCTTATCTTTAAAAGGCCACCTGAAATAGGTATTTGAGTCTATTTCCACATGCCCATCGAAAGAGGTACCACCTAAACAAGTTTCAGAATGACAATTTTATGTTGTGGTAGATGACAGTAGTCTGACAATCAACTACTAGATAGGAATTAATTGCAATTTGGTTTCCAAGTTCATGTGTTGCAAGGAAGTGTTCTTTGTGTGAGCACATTAGCAAATGCCACCTTTAGCTCCAAGAAGAGAAAGACTTGCTGTTGATATTTTCATGCATACAAGTTTTTCAGTGAACATTTTTAAAATGGATAAACGCAACTATATATATATAACGATATATTCAAGATTAGAAAGTACATAATTATCTGCCAAGTAAAGCTTTTTAGTCTAAAACAGTAACATAAACAGGAGTTTTAAGTATATCTTATATCATACATATTTTCAATGTATCTGTATCTTAACTTACTAGGTTGTAGGGCCTTTTCCAAGCCTTCATAATAATACCAGTTTTCTGCATTGCGCTCAATTAACTCTTTGTATACTTCACCAGCTTCTTTCAGTCTTCCCAACTTCAGTAACATCTCTCCTAAAAACAACGCAGTAAAGAACTGAGAATCACATGAGAAAACACTGAGAGCCTGGGAGTAAAGTTTACAAAATTAGACACATGAAATAGGGCTTAATCATATGTAGATACTTAAAAAGAGGCTTTATTTTTCCAAAGGCATTTACTGTGTATTACAAGTGGTACTTGAAGCTATCACACATATATAGCTCAAACAGTTTGGAGCATTCAGCACCTGTGAAAACAAGAGATTATTTGTATGTCTGTATCCCAGTATTTAAAACAGCCATTAGAATTATTGAAGAAACAAGCAACTCCTCCTTCCAGGACTCCAACATATGACTGTGTCACTTCTTACCAGGCTGATTATTTAACTACACCTGTATTTTTCACATCAACTAACCAGTTTTTAGCCAGTTAAATCATACTGGTTTGCTACTAAGTAAATTGTTCTACCAGATCTGGCTTGCATGGGATTAATTTTTTTCACAACAGCCCAGAGAGTGCTGTGTTTTGAGATCTGTAACTAAACATTGGTAGCACACCAGTGTTTTTGCTACTGCTAAGCAGTACTTGTAGAGCATCAAAGCTTTCTCTTTTGCTCCACTGTACCACCCGGCAAGCAGGCCAGGGTGGACAATAAGTTCAGAGTGGACACAACCTGGACAGCTGACCCAAACTGGCCAAAAGGGATATTTCATGCTATATAGCATTATGCTTAGTAATAAAAATAGAGGGGAAGGAGTGTTTGGGCAGGTGGCCATTGCTTGGAGACCAGCTGAGCATCAGTCTGCTTGTGGGAGATGACAAATGATTATCTTTGCATCACTAGGGGCCTGGTTTTCTTTTCCTTCCTCTCTCCTTCACTTAAGATATCTTTTATCTCAACACAAGAGTCTTCTTGCTTTTGCTCTTCCTATTCTCTCTCCTGTCCTGACAAGAGAGGCTGGGGGAAGTGACAGCAGCTGTGGGGGCTTACCTGCTGGCCAGGGTCAACCCATCACAATTGTGCAAGCAAGGAGCAGCTGAAGAATACGTGCTATTACACTATATAATTGCATGTATTCAGAACTCAGTGTTTGTACTTCATATCCACAAAACAACCGTGAGTTTAATGAAAACCATAAACTTCAGTATTCACTTAAGTAGATCAAGACAAGTAAGTGCACTAGAAAGCTTAAGAAGGAAACAAGAATTTGATACTTCAGTGGAAGAATATAATCAGTGTCTGTACTACAAACAGTATTCTTCATGAGATTCAGGCTGGGTTATACTAGATTAGCTGATTTATGGAAAGCTACTTTAGTATGCACCAATAAACCTCCAAGATCTCCTCTGTTCCTGCATCAAGCCAGCTTATACTACCTGCATCCACTATCCACTTTGGTAGGTCAAGTTACTTGAGCATGAAGTTGTAAATATAGTGATACCACTTTCCCCACAGTAATTGTTTCAAATCAAAGATTTCACATGTGTGGGGTTTTTTTTTACTGCTTTATCATATCTGAAAGCCAATGCAAAAGTTTAGAACAAAAATGGCTGAGGGAAGAAGAATGACTTACCTTTTATTTCTTCTACTATTAATTTATCACATATTTGCTTTTCATATGTCTCTATATGTTCTAAAGACTCCTGAAATAGATCTGCCTCTCTCATCACTTGATTTTGATATAAAATCAGTTCACTATATTCATAATCTATTTTATTAGGAGGAATCTGGGGGGAAAAAAGCAATAAGTTAGTTAACATTTACCTGTACCTCAACTGTATGCAATATTACAGAACACAAGATTCAAGCTACAGAATATATCCGGTCTACTTACATACCCACCCAAACATTCAAAGTGTAAAACTCCCATTATTCGCAATCAAATTACATTCATTCAGGATATCCTATATTAGAGAAGAGTTTTAAAAGAATTCCTGTACTTTTTCACTATCACTGTGGCTAATTAAAAGCTAATTAAAACCAGAATGCTTGTCTTCTCTCATATAATTCAATAAGATTTGCAAAAATCTTGGTAATCTTCTCCTTCTGAAGGACTTGTGTACTCCACAAGTTCTGCAGCAGATTGCTGGGATATCACAATACTTTTTCAGCATACCAAAAATTCTGGATCAAACTATTTCCAAGAGCAATGAACCAGCCAAATACTGGCCATAGCTTGACAACTAGAATTTTTCAGACAGGAAACTTACACTATTTCTCTCTAACCAAGTGTTCTCTGTGCTACACTTCAATACCCCAGAAAGTACAACACACCAGCATGCAAAGAGTGTTTTCGAGCAACAGACAATTATTTTGAGGTCTGCTGCCAGTTGCATACCTAGGACTTTGTCTGCAGGCTATAGTAAAACTAGTGGGTTATCCACCGTTCCACTGAAACAGAATGACATGTATAAGTATTCCTTTCCAAGAATAACTCCCTAAAGTGGATTTAGGCAATGAAAAGTCTTGCCAGAATAATAATTATTTCATACTAAATGCTCTTCACTAATATGCACAGGAGCTACTTCAACTACAAGTAAATTGCACAAATTTTGGAGACCAAATACAAAAGTCTGCAGACAATGCCCAGCAGATCTACACAACAGTTTACTATGTGAAATATACTGCCTTAATAGAAATTGTAAAAGGAAAGACACAGTCAAACATGATTTTTTAAATAGTAAAAAGTTAAGAAGCAGTTAAGCTTGATGAATGTTAATGATTTTCCTTCCCATGACACTACATACTTTGTTTCTTCCTGAGCAAGCAATACTTCGAAGTTACATTGGTCACCAAATAGTTTCCTATTACTTTTCTGTTCCCTAAGTAAAGCTTTTCTTCTGTCTTCTTTAAAGAACCAAGTAATTTAAGGAACAAAAAAAACCCCCAAAACATTGAACTGTTTGAAATTAACATTCATATTGACTCTTGTCCTAAAGCACTCATTACAGCCATTCCCCTAAGCACAGATCAACTCTGAGACTTAATATTTGTTTTACATATTGTGAGTTTTTAGAGGCAGATTTCATAGTACTGTGCATTTTTACAAAGAAGATTTCCCTCTTAGATAGAAATGTCCTGAAAAACAGAGTAACTAAATAAAATACTGTAAAGAGTATATTTGACAGTGAACATCAGTTTTGGGGCTGGAAATAACAGTATTCAAGTACTTTTTAGTAACTAACATATAGCAAGTCATGGCTAATGGAATAAGACTAGACCTTGCACATACTAAAGTCAGCAGGTAGCATTAAATCCTATCCATTTCTTAAAGTGTATTTCCTCTATCTGCCATTCCATTTCTGTTTCCACCTTTGCTCAATTTTTATCCATATTAAACACTGGCAGTTACAAATTAAACACATTGTTATCTGGAAAGCATTTTTAACTGCTTCACAAAATTGACACATGCAACAGGGGTTACGTGTTTAAGCATATCTTCCTGCTTATCCTTAGTGCAATACCACGGAACTGAAACTGCAGAGCACCAGTTTAGTTCTTTCTCCTTCACTTCCTCCATAAAAATACCATCCTCTCCAATACAATACGCATCTAAATTCTACAAGTAGCACAGCTTTTTGCTACATCATGAGTTGGTTTTAGGCCTTTAGAACAGAGACTACCCCAAAAACCCCTTAAAATATAAGACAAGAAACAGGTATCAATTAACATTCTCATAGCTCTTCTGGCTTGGCAGGACTAACAAAAGAAATTACAAAATGTCAAAACCAAAAAAATCAAACAAACTACCTTTTACACATAGGGCAAATCCACCAGAAAGATACTGTAATGTCACTCCATTTAAAAAGCCATTTTTAAAAGCGGTTTTAAGAGAAGTATTTTAAAAGAGATTTTGAAATCTCATCAGGTTAATGATGATTTAAACGTGCAATTCATCAGAAGGCAAGCAGCTTATAACCCCAGTACTTAGCCTGAATAATCAGACTGTCTATATAAGACTTGGATATTCTATAAAAAGTTTTTTCCACACCATTGTTATTGCTGCACAATACATCTTTACTCCTCCATCCCCCCAGAAGTGTTATGATTCTTGCACATGAGATGTCCAACTTTCTCTTGAACTTAATTCTGCTGTTTCAGAATAAATTTCTTCCTCTCCTGGACCAAAAAAAAAGAATCAGCTTTATAACTGTAGATGTCCTAATGTAACTGTCACTGAAAGAATGTGACAAGATGCAGCCAAAACATACCTAAAAGCAGACCCCCAAAACTCCAGAGGTTTTCTGTCCATATCTGTAATTGTGGGCCTGATGCAGAAATTAGGAATAAAATAAAAATTAAGAATAAAAATTTTGTTCTGGAAAAGAAGAAAGGAAAAATGGGACATACAACAGTAAAACAAATTGCATAGTTGTTTTACAACTTGGTTCCCAAGTTCTAAATTCTGAAGTGACTCTTAAATAATTTGATTTAACTTGGACAGCACAGGGTGTTATATTTCCTGCAGTGATGTCTGCATTCAACCTCATAACCTGTTTTTGACTGAAATATCGTGCATCTGGCTAATTTACAGCTTTCAGATGACAGGAAGTGTTGATCTAGATATGCCAAGAGACAGCAAATTCACCATTTCCAATGATATCTTAGCCATTAGAATAAAACTGTCAGTGATAAAAAGTGATTTATCATTTGAATTTGTTGCTTAACTTCCTGACACTACTTGTTCCTTTATTTTTCCCCACAACGCAATCTTCCTAGCTATCACTCTTCCCAAAACCAGTATCTAAACTGTACTAGAATCCCCTAGGGTTTTTTCTGCTTACAGTAAACAATCTCTGCCCTTCACTAGCATTTTATCTAGTCCTCTTGTCTTTCTACATTGTTCTTTTCATTTTCTAATTTTTTAAAAACAGGGTCATCACTAAGTCTTGATCTCTCAGTAATCAGTGCTCTATAGAGAAAATCCTTGCTTCTCAGAAATAAGGGTGTTTTCTGCTTTCCACCCATCAATCTGCCCCAAGGGACAATTTTACAATAAGCTAAGTCAATCTAACTGCAGCCTGGATCAACAAAGGCTGTTCATTTCCCTCTATTATTCCCCTTCCTCCTTCCCCTCTCACCTCACAGTTGTTCAGTTCAGCCAATCAATCCTTCAAAAGAGTGATTATTTTTCTGTCACTTTGGCTTCCTGAACCAGCCCTCCACGAGTCAACCAGCGCTGCACAAGGAAGCAGTGGGAGCACACAGGAAAAAGTCAGACTGCTGGTTTTAGCAACTACTTTTAGCTAGATACAAGCTAGATACTAGCGTACTCACCTACAATCACTAAAATGACAGTTCCTTGATCTTTTTCTTAGTCTTACTGCTTGGTTTTGGATATGTTAATTCACATCTGAATGGACACAGCTGCCTGAGTAATCCAAGTAAATGAATATGATCGCTCTACATCACCATTATTTACCAATTATTATGATAGCAGCATTTTACATAGCATGTTACATTTACTTCTTTATTCATTAAAGATAATGGTAAACAGTATCAAGCCTAATACAGATAGCCATAAAATTCCTCAAAAACATCAGTTTCTTGAAGACTCCCATTCACTAGTGATTTGGAAACTTAATGGTTTTTGAACCGTCATTTTAAGCCTTGAACAACATCATCCTTTTGTCAGTCACATGCAATATTCTATCAAGTCAGTCACAAGAGTTCATCTATTGAGTTGGAGTATGTACAAACTACGAGGCAAGAGGAGCGATTTGGAAAGTAAAGTAAGCAGAGAAGTGTACCTCCTCAAAGATCAAGGGAGCATCCTGAACTCAACTATTTTAAGTGCAGGACTGTTAAATATCCAGAGACTGCACAAACAGTACATTTGGGGACTACTATGGAAGAACCAGAGCATAGTGAAATTGAGCAGTGAGTTTGCTTGAGTTCTCCTGACTGTTCTGGACCCAACACATTGATTCTCTCTTCCAGTGGTTGGGGCTCTGCATGGGCCTGCTCTCCTCAGGGAGCTAGCACTGCAGAGCACAAGACTCTCTATTTGCAAGAGAAAGGTAACTAATATGGTCATCCTTACTTTTAGTGTTTCGAGGGAGAAAACACAATATACCACCTAACTGTCTCTACCGATCTCAAAAAAGAAGAAAGGCTTGACACAACTGATTTTCTATAAACTCATCTTGTCCAACATTTGTGGCATATTACTGTCCTTCGATGCTTAGCCAGCTTTTCCACCATTTGCCTGTGACTGGTATTATGTTAATCAACAGTTAAACAGCTCATTCTTGAGGTATAAACCATTTTCCTATATATGGACATTTCCCAAATATTTCCAGTTTTACTGAAAAATGGCATCAGAGTTTGAGATCTTCTCAGCATTTCTTTGTTTTATGGTGAGATTTAAGGTTGTCTTAACTTGCTCAGACTCAACTGATTTAGTATGTTCATCTATGGCAGATGATATTTAAATCTGGCTTAGTCACTAGACTGAAGAGCATATCATTACTGCCCTCAAACAAGCATGTTTACACACAACCTTACACTTGATTTGCAGTTTTCCCCTCTATTATAATTCAAAGTCATTTCAACACTGAACTCAGACTGGGCTCTGCTGACTCATTTGAGAACCATGACTTTTTTGCTGTCAAATGTTCATAGAAGATGAGCTTTCATTTAAACTTACTGTTTTCAGTTTTTATTGAACACCGAAGATACAACTCTCTTGAAATATCAAGCTATATATACAGCTGGCTTGCAACATCCTTTGTTTGACCATGACAATCAAGACACAAACACTGATGCCTCCTAGCAATTACTAATTTCCTTTCTTACAGTTAGTCCCATTCCGGCTGTATTAAGATCTAAAATGCAGTTCTCAAAGGATACAAGGTTTTGGTTTGAAAAAAAAATCATCACCTATAGGTCAGGTAGTATCTTAGTATCTGCACATGGTACTTCCAGCATGCCTCCCAAACTGAATGGATCTATAAACACAGCTTTTCTTTCCATGTTACAGAATAATCATCACATGCACTCTGTTCTGTTAATTCAGACCTCATAGTTCAGTGTTACCAATAACAAAACAAGGGAATTCTCTCTCTCAAAAAAGGTTATACTCTGTAATTTTAGCATTGTATCATTTGATTTATTCGAAGTTTCAGTAACACCAAATCTTCTCAAACAAAGAATTTTCAGCTATGTTTTCATGTTACTTTGACACCAAGCACTGATTTTAAGTGCATAATATATAGATGCATACAAAGCAATGAAAAGTTTCTTCACATTCTTTGTAGGCATGTAATGGCATCCAGGCTATGGCAGAAGAAAGGGCAAATGAGCACATCCAACACTAAACCGTATTTTCTGAGTTTTACCTACTGTAAAGGGACAAGATCACAGGTTTTCTTTAGCTACAAGCCCCATAAACATTGAGTTACTCAGTTATTCCACATCAGTCTACCCTTATATCTTCAACCTTAACGGGAAGTTACTATTGGAAGGGGAAAAAGGATTCCTGTATAATTTGCATCAGCTGCTAAGCTCCTGGAAATCTTTCTGACCAAAGCAGAAAGCTCCACAAGAAACAAGTTTCTTCCGAATTCTTAACTGGTTCCTCATTACGAAGAACTAATTCCTCAGATTCTGTCTCTCATACAGAAAGTCTTCTCTTTCCAGAATAGGAAGTCTTACCTGTTGGGTTTTCCTAAACTCTTCAAGTAGTTTTAAGGCCATATCATAATCTTTTAGTAAGTGGTATGCAATGGCATATCCAATCCAGGAAGCCCGTTGTGTGGGGCGCAGCTGAAGCAGCTGGTATCTTGTCTCCTTCAGTAGAAGAAAAGCAATTTAAAAATAACAGAGATGTTAAAAAAGACTTACTACACCTTTAATAACTATTTATCACCAGTACAGCTAATATTTTAAAAAGTCTTTTAGAAGCCCTAGGCAATTTTTGAAATTCTAACAGCATGTGGAAAAGCAGCATGTTTCCATCTCAAATCTGTGGGCTACATTCTAGATATAGAAATTCTAGATACAGAAGTCATGGCACAACGCATAAAATCTATTTGTCAGGACTCAAGACATGTCATTTTCAAAAGCACCCCTTAAGGGCCTAAATTATTTCCAAAGATAAATCTTTTAAGTCACCAAGATGGGTTTCCATTAGAAAGCATAAGCTCACTGCCACTGAAAGAGCAGTCCCACTCTCCTCGTGCCCAGGCACAAGGTCCTCTTACTTCCACTGCTGTGTATATATATACACCATGACATGCTGCAGTGCTTCTCAGACCCCCTTCCTGAGTCAAATCATATCCCTAAGTCAGTTATTCCCTACTTCACATGAAATGGGGGACAGAAGAGGAGCAGGACTTTTCCCTTTCACAGCCACATAAGTTTAGTCATTTTGAAGCCACTAATTCTGTTTTTAAACAAATGTTAAGGTTTTATTTATGATAAAGATCAGTATAGGGGTTCACAAAATCAGTCATCATGAGGCAAGTTTCCCACATACTCCAAAGAAACATGATAGTGTATTTCTCACAAAAAACACCTTCAGTATATGCACCCAAAACATCATTTGCAATACTTCACAATAGCACTGTAAGCATTCCTACTTGTTAAGCTTTAAGTCTTATCCTTTTTATTTTTGTTATTTTAGCGAAAAATGAGTTGAGAACTAGTTTTACACAGTGATCTACAAGTCAAATTGTACAGAATAACTGTAGTTCTGGTTCTGTTCTCAATGTTATGTTGAGCTCTGCTGCAATACATTTTCACACTTTCCTAAACAAGAGCTTTTGAAACAGCAAAAACAAGTAGCCACAGGATTACTACTAATACTTAATAATGGAATAGAATAACAAGACAGAATGCTAGACAGCAATAAAGTGGAATTCAAAGAGAATACTTACTCTGTATCCTTCTAAATCCCTCATCTGAATCTGCAAGAGAGAGAGATCTCTCAAGATCTGTAGATTATCTTTATCTAGTTTGAGTGCATTCCGGTAACACTTGATGGCTTCATCATATTTCTTGTCAGAACGTTGCAAAAGACCATAGACATGCCAACCTAATGCATGTTAAGGAAGACACATTCACAATTTTCACGAAGAAAACTGCAGCACATTTGTGTTACAAACCAAACAACTTGACATCTTCCTTGAAGATCAGTACCCTTATAAATTAAGTTTGATTACTGCAGCCAGACTTTACTAACACATTTCAAAGTATTAAATGCTGCCAAATAAGCAAAACAGCCTTATTTAAAAAAATTCTGTTAAGTCATCCGTAACCCCTGCCAAAAAACTGTTATACAAACTAAATGATGCAAACTCCGCAAGACCCAGAAGTTATTTCTAGAGATGTATACCTTAAAACATACTACTGTAATTACAGTAAAAATTCTGACGCCTAGAAGTGTCTCATTCTAATACAATTGTTGTACAAGTCTTACTTTTCCTCACTTGCCTATCTGTAACCTCAATTAGTTGCCAGATTTTACAGTAAGGAGTAAACACAGAACTACACTTTATTCATTGACAAAAGGAAGTTTTAGCATTTCTGTGCATCAAAAGTCTTTGTCACACTCTCAGCATCTCTCATTTCCATCAGTAGCATGTCATTTCAATAGACTTTTCTCTCACAAGCATCCTTTTTTATCCTGGAAAGATTCTGAATTCAAAGCACGAAACCAACACACATCATAGCAATGCCTTACACCGTGTGCGTTTACATCAGTCTCCAAAACTCATATTAAAAGAAATATTATTTGACATCATCTACCTTTTGCTACTCAAGATTACTAGTAACTCACTGAGGCAACATCTTCCACATAGTAAATCTGAACTCGCTTTGATTTTCAAATTAGAAGTGGCTCAGAAGTTCTCAGGAAGCTCTCCCATGTGCCCCTGAAGCAGCAAAGCACAGCAAATCTTGGAGAGAAGTATACACATCCTTCACCTGCTTTCAACTAAGATGGCACAAATAACACGTAGTGCTAATAACCAAAATATTTAAGAATTCTTATGCTATCGAATTGTAACAGAAGCCAACTGTTCCCTCCAAAGGCAGTCATTTCTAAACTTTGCATCTCAAGAAGTTGAGAAAGCACATTAATTCAACGGGTTAACGTGGTCAAAGTAATCAAAGAAACAACTATAAGTTCCCTCTAAGAAAAACTGATGTGCTGAAGTAAGGTCTAGATATGAAGACACAAAGCAGGTTTGTAATTATCAAAAATAGAAGATATGACTCCAGCCAAAAGGAAAGACTCATGAGAATTAATAGTCTGAAGAAAACTTCTAATACTCAAAAGACCCTGTTTTGCATTTCTACAGGAACACCAAATTAATTTCAGACAGCTGAAGGACACAAAAATTCCATAGGCATCCTTGAGACTGCCAGGAGAGCTGCTATTGCTGTCATGATGATTTAAAACTAAATAGAAAAGGAGCCTGAAACAATTTTGGATACAGTTACAGCACTTGGTTTAATGCTGCTACTGCTTTCTATAAATCCTGCCTTGCCTATTTGAGTTCAAGTATTCAGGACATGGTTCAACATTAAATACAGCATCTTCACCTACTTGCCTCAGAACTACTGATATATCAGATTCTCACCTAGAGCAAGACAATTCAGTCCAAAAGAACTCACATGCACTTTAACAGTGCAATTAGACAATTCAATTGGTCATCTGGCTTAATCATTCATAAATCATACTCTTCACGAAGCAATCAAGTAAAGAAAAGCATAAACCACTCAGAAATAAGTGTGTACAGGAATCAAGAGTAAGCATAAGAAATGTTAACAGCTGATACAGGCCAGTAATGCATGATGCCACCAATTTATTCTACTAGACAGCTCTGGGCAGTCTTGCATGTGTTCCCACAGTGCCTCAAGTATAATGTGCCACTACCTGAAATATTTGTTATTGAAATAAGGGTAGATCTGACCAGATCATTACTCAAGTTATATCCTAAAACAGGTCAGAATTTGTCTGTAGTTTGACCAGAGAGTTTCTGGATTTCTAACCAATTTTACAATGGCCATTTTCCCCCACACCTTAATATGGGCAACAGCAGAAAAACTAGTGTCGTCTTCTCCTCCTTAAACAAGTCAGAACACTGAAGTGACCAGCTGTATTTTAAACATCCTCTACCAGGTGCTTTCTGAAAACCACAGATTACAAAACACACCAAAAGCACCTTCAAATGTTACCACAAGAAAATATGAACACATAGATGTATTGCACCTCTTCGGTATCAGCTACTGCAGCAAAGTGACTTTACCAGCTACCCCCCTCTCCCAACCAAATTACAGGTATTAAGCTCACATAAAACAGGGAATGTAAACACTATTTTAGAGAGCTGCCCAAGCTTTGCTAAGGTAGCATTGAGGATCACCAGGCCTTCCAGTTTTTATCAGAACTTCATGGCTAGTCACAAGCCTTTGCAAAAGATGTAAAAGGAACCTTTATTAAAAAGCTCAGCCTCAGATCTCAGTTTCTCATGGGCTAGAATATATATTCTCCTAGTCTTGATTCTCCCCATGTGCTAGAACCCCAGATATTTGGGTAGCAACATTATGATAGTGCATCAGATGCTCTTAGTGTGGTAATAGTAAAAGAGTTGGTAAATTCTGAAGAAATAGCAAGAGATAACAACTGGAAGTACCATGACAAACCTGATGCCTAGTCTGGAATTAATTCAGTATCAGCTAGCTTGTGCTCACAAGAAAAGTAATTCCGTATAGACAGATTATTCTAGGGGATTATCTGTAGAGCTGCAACAATACACTTGAATACAGAAGTTGGAACTTCTTGCTTTGTCAGAGCTAGTTCTATGGATGCAGCTCAAAAAAAAAGAGAGACATTTGTGCCTAACAGGCTTCAGATGAGTTTACACTTTCTCAGAATTCAGAAAACAAAAATCCTTGTAGTCTTAAGGTAAAGCAAGTTTAATGAGTCAGTGAAAGTGATAAAAATCCACTAAAACGCATAACCAAAAAAAGTCCAATGTTTTTTTAAACTCCTCCAGGAAGAGGGTCCCTTTGACCACCCTACCCCCCAAATTAGATCTGAAAAGGCACAGATCCCTCCAGCATTTCTAGGCAAGTCTTCCAGACAGTTGTAAGAGCATGAACTGCAAACAAGAATTAGTGATACTGATAAATCCCACTCTGGAATTTTGCTTAGGAATCAGAATTCCCAAAACTTTTCACTAACTCACACAGACTATTTTGCTCCCTGATTTAAAGTACAAGATTTCTTACATATAAAGTTACTTTGGTATTCCTTAGATGTTCAGCATCTAAGATCTATGGCATACCTCTAGTAACTCTGATAACCTCCATACGTTTAGAGGTTTTTCCCAACCTCAAGGTCCCTGGATGTTTAATATGGGAACAGTATACAGTCTTTGTCGTAAGTAGATGGCCATCAGAAAGTGTCTCCTGTGATACTAAAGGAAGATTATTTTTTTAATGTTAAAAACTTAAATGTTTCATGACAAATTTGCCTTTTAACATGCAACTCAAATGCATACAGAACAAGTAGGGCGTTCTGTGCAAATCTGAAGTAGCCTCCTATCTGTGGCTTAAACAGAAGACAGCCACTCCCAGAGCTCTTGGGTAGTTAAGTATTTCACAGGTGTAACCTTTTAGAAGAGAAGCTTAGAACATATTAGTCATCAAGCCATTGCCTAAAATTTAACAGCAAAACAGGTATTTTTAGACCACCTCTAGAATGGATTTCTTACACCTTTTTAAAAGAGAAGAAAACTTTAGAAAAGGCCAGATTTTACAAGCCATACCTATTCTCTGCAGAAAGTAAACATCTATGATGGTCTTTTCCCAAGAAATAAATATAAAAGGCATTTTTCTTAAAGATTCTAAAAAGGTTTCATTTTCCTTTCTACAGTTTATTTCAAGTATTTGATTGCCAGTTAATATTCACTGTACACACCTATTTTAGGCTTTTATATAGACTACATTACAGACTTCAAAAGTATGTACTGATGTAGCAACAGAATCATACACACAGAAGTGAGAACTCATAGAAAAAACATCAGGTTTTTTATTACAAAGGATACAGACATGACTCTTTACATCATTGCGAAGTCCTTTACGAACAAATTCATATGCTTCTTCCTTCTTCCCTAAGCAGTTCAAGGTCAGTCCTTTCATCGCAAGCGTCTCTGTAAGAAATATCATATACTTATGTTTCTGACTTCCCATATGCCAGTTCCACAGTGCAGATATCCTTTGAAGTTCTTACACAGCGAAGCTCCCCATTAAATGATAAATTTAGATCAGGATAGCAGGCTAGCACAGCTGAAGACTGTTACATGGAAGCATTTCCCTTCTTGAAATTGGTCTTAAAAAGCCCACTGCAGAGCACCACACAGATGTGATGAACACAGACAACACAAACTTTATTAATTAAAAAATAGGTTTAACTGGCTTTAAGGGAGTTAACAATAAACAAAACCAATTTTAGAGAGTTTCTCAATGTGTGTTAAAGTTCCATGTAGGCAGAACAAGAAAAAATTCATTAGGTTGTTCCATAGCATAAGAAACGGATCTCTGTCAGTCAGGTCCACTATTACAGGTTGCTTACAAAGCATTAGTTAAAAGGACCATATTTCCTACTACAATATTTTGACGGTAAAAGACCTTCTCAAAGTAGTAGCATTTTAATCAACATTCTGAGACACACAGATTCCAAATAATACATTGGTATGACTATTACTCCTCTTCTTTCCCCATTCTTCATGTAACACTGTGGGAAAGAAGTTGCATGTAATGCGTGCACTATGCCTGAAAGCTGTTCCAGATTAATACTTTTTTTTTTTTGCTAAATAAGAGACCACTTAGTTTTGGCCCCTGCCAGATTAGTCAAATTTTCACCACAGTACCCTGGTTTTCCTCCACTTGCAACATTCTCCCCCAGTGTTAATGGCAAGAGCCCATCATCTCAAGGTCAGCCGTAACAGCAGTTTGAAGCTTGATAGACCTGTTTAACAGCCTTTTATACAAAAGTATACCTGAATTGAATGATGACCCAAAACAAGCCCAGGTTTTTGTTTTAAGTTGCCCTACATCCACACTGTAAGAACAGAGGAAGCTAGAATGATACTTTCCCAATAATACTAGGAAGCTTGAAAAAGAATATCCCCACTGTAGGAAGGAGGGCAAGCTACTCCTACCTTCCCACACCAGGGAGATAACTGTCTAGCCACAGCAATCCATCTGTTTGACACTTTCTTACTAAATTTTTCAAATTCCTTGTCTCTGAAGCTAAGTGTGACAACAGTGCAGCTTCCCATCAGATCATTTCACTGGCTTAGTTCTGTCTCAGCTGTTCATTCCAGGCTTTGGTCCCAAGCTTCAAAGCCATTAGTGGCTCAGAGCCCAAGTAGTATCTGGACTGCCAAGGCAGCAAGTTGTCCTGGAAAAGTTTAAGAGGCAGCAAGGCAGAAAAGACAGAGACATATACTGAGATGTTACAAAAACACAAGTATCAGAGACAAATGTATTATGTCAGAACTGGACAAGCCCCTACATTTGAAGCTATAAGAAAACTGTACTTTTAATCTCTGAGGAAGTACTGAAGACAAAGAAACAGAAGACACTGATGGAAGCATGAAGTACATGCACACTCAGTATTAGGTTGCTTCAACAAAGCAGACAAACAAGAAAAAGTCACCGTATCAGAAGGAAAGATTGGCTGAACCATGCAACAGAAACCCTGTAATATAGTAAGAGTAGAGTATCTTCTTGTTCTCAAGTTCTGACAGATGTATAGAAGCAACATTTTGCTGTTCCGTTTCCTGCAATATTTATCAGAACAGGATCTCCAGATTCTGTCTTTAGCTTCAAGTCTTCGCAGCAACAGTATTAAACTTAACTTTGCTCCTTTTAAGTAGAAATTTGATATGCAATACAGAAAATTTAAGAGTATGAACTTAAACCACAAGATTTTAAATTAATTTAGCAGAATATCTTTATGTAATATTCAATAAAAGCCTAGGCTTGCTATTAGATAGGAGTGTAATAAAACCCCACTCTAGAATTCTGACCCAGGAACCTAGAAAGGCAACTTACTCAGAAGCTTCACTAAAGTGTGCTTTCACCATACATTTTGATCATCATCATTGCACTGCACAAGTGTGTTTGACTTGGCTAGGGTGGAAACTTGGTCTGAATGCACAAAGACTGAAAATCCAGAGTAACTTTGCAGTCACAAGAACAGAATCATACTCAACAACAGGCTCCTTGCCCAATAGTATGGAATGGACTGATTACACATTCAAGCTCACAACAGGAGAAAAAATATCTTTGAGTCTGCAGTTACCTCCATGTTCAGCGAATTTTGGGTTTGAGAGGATCATCTTGCAGAACTTGAGTCCATTTTTGTACTGCTTTTGTTCGTAACATTTCTGGAAAAGAGGTGGAATACAATCACTGAAATGCATTTAAAAGCAGAGTACCTTAACATATTATAAATGCAGTAGTTCTTTCATTAAGGTATGGTTAATCCCATCACTAACAAACTCTAGTTCAGTATGACTATTCATATCACATTGCCTTTTTTCAGCATTCAGAACAGTATTTGCCTTCATTTACATGCAGTCAGTGCTCTACCTCATGGTGTCCTTTTTAGAAGTTAGTAATTCTTTTTTAACAGAAATAGGAAAGGCAAGTAGGAACATCTACTTCAATTCAGAAATTCTTAAAACAGAGCGCCAAGTTAGAAATCTTGAGTCAACAGAACTTTTGAGAAGAGTTAGTTTTAAAGGGTCTAGGCACTCCTTTCAACATCCCATTTCCCTAGGCTAGTGACCTCCCAGAGTAAGAAATCTCAGACAGAAGACTTTCCTTGCTGCTCATGTAGACTTTTGGGAGGAAGAGAAAAACGATGAAGTAGGATAGACCTATCATAACCTCAAAAATCTCTGTGTAGATATCCAGGGAGAGAGAACATACCTGGTTATTAAAAAAAAAAAAACTAATTTCTAGCTGCAATAGTACAGCTAAGGGCTACTTTTAGATTTATTTAGGGTACCATTTACCTAATCACTAGGTAAACTGGCAAGCAATGTGGTTCAACTGCAGGAACACAAGGAAAAAAAACACAAAACATGAATCTGGGTCCCTTTTCTTCTTTTGAAAAATATTACCTGATGTTACTAAGTCAGTAAGGTCTTAGTAATTTAAATCAATCACTACAGTTGATTACTTTAAAACAAATTCACAAGTCAGTTAAAGGCATGCTTTTATCAGTAAGCATGAAGATTATTTATGGTCATTTAAGCTTTGTAACTTGAAGAAAACTAAACCACGCTTAACTTGGCACCATTTTCAGTTAATAAGGTGTACTGCCCTTAGTACTGTAATTGAGACAGCTATTCTCAGGAGAAACTGCATCATTTCAGGTATGTGCTCGAGTACTTTAACTGTCTCTCATAGATCACTCCCACTCCATCAATCTTCCAGGACAGAGGTAAAAATCTATGTTAAATTAATGCAGAGTGTAGTAACTCCTTTGCAGTCATAATATATCATCATACTGCTTCAAGGTACAAGCAATACAGAAATGTGCCTATGCTCACTTTTGGGTAATTGGCTAAGGTGCCAAAACACAGGTCCTCCTCCAACCTGGGGGAAAGACCTTAACTGCAGACAGTTTTTAAGTCTTTGTTGCCTGAAACTCAAGACATTTTCTGTTAACCATAATTAAGTAGAGCCTAAATCATAGAATAATTTAGGTCTGCAGGAACCTTTGGAGGTCACCTAAATAACCCCTTAAAACAACGGAGAGCTAACCTTGGTATTAGCTCAGGTTGCTCTGCCTGGCTGACTTCTGGCAGGATGGCCAGGGAGTTCCCATGAGAGGCAATAGTTATAGTATGGCAATTAACACTTAACTAGCAGTAATGAAAAAGCTTTGAGAATTTTAAATTGAGAACTAGTTACCACATCTTTACCTGAAATAACTCAGGCTTCAGCAAAACTTGGGAGTCCCCTCTAGGGGAAAGTAAAATCCTCCCATTTATCTATTTTTTCTTTCTTACCATAAGATGCCTACGACCATTTTTAAAGAATGATAAGAAAATACCAACAATGCTCTAAGTATACTTTCTAAATTTATTCAGGTATGTCTGAAAAAGTAACAGAATAGCAAACATTCATCCACAATTCTACAACTCTTGCAACGATTAGTGAAACTCCAAATATACAGCAATGCTTAACCATAGAACAGAAGCTATTTGAATCAAGCGTGCACTTAAAATAGATTAACTACTTGAGGAAATCATACCTATTACCCTTGTTCTGATATTTTTATCCTATAGAGCGCAGTCTCAGGCCTAGAATAAGAACTGAACTTAAGATAATTATACAGAAATTTGAGATTTTTGGAGGAAAAACAAGATCACATTTTCCAAAAGCCAACAGATGGATGGAAGAGAGAAATTAATGCTCTCCAAGAAAGAAGCACAAGTTCAACATTCACAGTTGTTCGGCATACTGATAGACAAGCAGCATACTTGTGCTTGTCAATGAACAGGTTAGCTCAAAACCAGACACAAACTACAGCATTTCTTACCCAGCTGCTAGTTACTAGACAAAAGAGAGGTCAACTACAGAAACACAATGGATCAGTACGAAATGCAACTTCATGCAGTTCCACTGCTTATGGGACAAGCCTCGCTGGTTAGTCAAAAGGTGACTTCCCAGCCCCACTCCCTCCAAATACATATATAAATTCACAAATAAGGCATGTGTTTATACAATACATTGGCTTAAATGTATACCAATATAAGAGAAAAAGAACTTCGCTCAGCAATAACAATTACTTTATTCTTATATCAACATATATAGATATACTGAAAGGCTTACAGATTCAGTTACATAAGCCTAGAGCTTTAAAACATCCAGACATTGTGAGTGGAGTGCTTTTAAGTTTCTGTCTGTCCAAAAACGGAACGAATACATCAAGCTCCACCTGTATCTTGTATACAGGAGACCAGAGTTTGATGACATATGATACCATCTCAGTTTGTAGTACTGATGGCAATTTAGTAGTTGAAAAAACTGACGTCTCCATAGGTATTCAGGTTTTGTACAAATCAGGACAAATATAGCTGAAATTTATTCATTAGTATGTCCCCCATTGCATTAAGTCTTCGGTATGTTAACAGCTCACACTAATACACTGGTTTTGGGTTTTTTTTTGGTGTTGGGGGGTTGGTTTGTGTTTTGTTTTTTTTTTTTTTAAAAACAGCCTTATCTGTTGTGCTTGATGTGAGGCTCCCCATCACCCTTTTACAGCAATAATTTCCTGCTAAAACTAAGGCCAAATCACGAACGTTTACATGCCTGAAACCTCAAAGGGAGATTTTGGCAAGGCCAAAACGTTATCCAGAACTCCTGCTACCAGATGTTCCTGAAATGATGTTACCTCCTCCAGCAAACATCTCATCCTGGTTTATTCCCCTTTTCAACACAAAGTCAAAGATATAATCTACTTGTAGACTTTGCCATACAATTAAGACATACATCATTTTATGCACTTTCAGGTAAGTATCAAGTGCCTCTACACAGAGGTCAAATGGCACAGCTTCTAGGAAGTAACTATGAACTGTAAAGGTAAAAAATACTAGTAACAAGGATACAACAGTGTAGAGCAAGAGAAGACTTCAATGCTGTATTATAGTGCTTGGCTGCTTCTAGTTAGGGAACTGCCATTCACAAATTCTGATCTATTTTTTGCATCCTGCTGTCTTTTTTTAGAGACAAAACCCCCTTGCACTACTAAATATCACCAGAATCACAGATATGAAAGGGGGACACTTTTTAGCAGGGCTTGTTGTGATAGGACAAGGGGTAATGGTTTTAAGCTGAAAGGTAGATTTAGATCGGACATAAGAAAGAAATTTTTCCCAATGAGGGTGGTAAAACCCTGGAGCAGGTTGCCCAGAGAGGTGGTAGATGCCCCATAGATCCCCAGAAACATTCAAGGTCAGGTTGGATGGGACTCTGAGCAACCTGATCTAGTTGAAGATGTACCTGCTCATTACAGGGGGGTTGGACTACATAACCTTAACAGGTCCCTTCCAACTCAAAGATTCTATGATTCTCTGTGCAGTTTTCTTTAATAACGATACTGCAATTTGGAAGTTGGTTTTGCTGTCTCTTGATAAGAACTTGTCAGACACTAAGTCCACGCCACTGCCAGCAATTTAACACTATTCTCAGATCCTACCTGTGCAGCCCAAGTTCTGTTAATACAGGGTCTGCACATCAGTAGGCTGCCTCACCAGAGCCGCCAATAAGAACAATAAGCATTTCAACTAATTTTATTTCTAAGTAGCTGAATACAAACAGCTTCAGGCTTTATTGGAAGAACATAACTTGTTTAAGTTTTACTGTACTTCCATACAATCCTACTTTCAGACCTCTGAGCACTTGACAAAGTTACAACATTCTTCTTGCCAGGTAGTGTCGCCAAGATCTCTGTACAAAACTATGGGGATTTTGGCAACACCCAGGACTCACTTAAACAAAATTTTAATCTTACATTCTCAATACTTACATCTTCAATTTTTTTAAAATTGTGTGTCTGCTGTGTAACGCTAATGGGGGGGCTGGGTAAGCAAGGAACCCCAGAGCTAAATGTGGAACATTAGAGCCTAGAAAAACGTACAAGCCTTACACATCAATTCCTATGGAAAGGGTGGTTTAAGTCAGTTGTACTATAAATCTCTAAGCCACAATGGTTATCAAGTCAGTAATAAAACAAACCCCTCACTTATCACTGACTGCAATTCTGATCAGCAACTTTTCCTGGGAGCAAGTATTTAAGGGCTGTTGAAATTATTAATACACATTTCTGACCAAAACCAGGCACAATCAATACAGAAACATCAGCATACTCTCAGTGTTCTTAATTGGCATTTAACACTTGGACCTTTTAAAAAGCTTTCCTTGTTTTATTGCACATCTATAAAACAATATCATCTGCATCTAACAATCTATGTTTCTCTCAGCAGTTGATGAAATTAGTTATCTAAGTACCTCAGTCAGATTCTAGGCAGAACTCAGTATATATTGTTCCTATGCTAACAAATAATAATTACCAAATTATTCACCTGATTGATAGCAAGGTCTCACACCATCTTGTTTGAATGATGTACGATTAAGTTCCAAAAGAGTTCAGCTTTCCATCTGTGCTGGAAGTGTTCCTTGTATCATGAAATATTTGGATACTTTGCAATACTGATACAGGAAAAGAAAGCATCATGATGCTATTAAATTTCAGAGACAGACTAGGGACCTCTGCATGAGGTTCCCCAAACAGCAGTCCTCTCTCCACACTAATTTCAGTTCACTGATGTTTGAGAGCATGGAAAAAAGTATCAGCTGGACGGGGCTTCAGCTCATGGAGGCCAAAGCAAAAGTTCATTACTGCTTTGCCACTCTCACAGCATCCTAGACTTCTAGTCCCAGGACAACCCTTCCAGAGTACCAACATGTTCTGCTACCCATCCCCCCAGGCCTTACTGCTATTTCATATATGCATGGCCACCCCTACTCTCTGCTGGTAAGAGTGGTTAATCTCATCAGCTGAAATAAAAAGAAGACAACCACCTAGCTCCAGCCTTACTTGCTTCCATTGTCAAAATGGACAGGCCACATAGCTCTTCCCCAGACCTGGGAACTTGGCAATGCAGAAGAGTGCTGAGTCGATACAGATGGTGTACAATAGAACAAGTGGCCTGCATCATATACAGCGGTAACATTGATCAAAGTACTAATGTCAGAGTCATCTAAAGCTTTCACTATCATGATTCTCTTTATACAACAAGTATTCTTCCCTTCAACCAGCTTTTTCTAGTTATTTAAGTTTAAATCTACAGAACACACAAAACCTGCATTCTGTATACTAACAGTTGTAATCACTGCTGTTTGTATTCTATATTAATCGGCAGAATAGAACTGATACTGTATTTATTATCGGAAAGATCATATGCGATAAGAGAACATTGTTTCAGCCTTTGTTGTCAGAGATTTCTTTAAGAGCCCTATAAACTATGCCTCTTCTGAAGAGGGAAGCTTGTTGATAAAGAGTTTGCCTTAAATTAAGACCTAGTCTAATTCTACACTGTGCACACACTCAATACACCTTGAGTCCCTAGAATATCCTTTGCTTCAAAGGGGCAGAAAGAAGAGAACAAGCAGTAGAAAAAGCTCTTGCTTACAAGTACTTTGCTTCTGTAGCTTCCTCACTACTTGAGTTAGTAGAGTTCTCCACCATTTATGAACACGTGTATGCCTCTGCAAGGCAGAAACTGTAACAGCAACACAAGAAATTAGACAAATCATAGCCCCATCATACATTTTCTACTAGTTTTTAAATCTGCACTTTGTGTAGAAGTGCTGGAGAGACCAATCTGCCACATCTCCTGAGATGAAACTGCAATTTGCCTCACAAGAACTCAGACTGAGCAGGTGCTCCACAAGCTAATGGAACCACATCTGTGAGCGGTTAAGCAAATGAAACTATTAACACAAACATTGTTTTGAGAGACCCAATACACACATGCATATAAATCCTAAGGCTTCAGAAAAGTTATGCTTTAAGATGCTTAAATGAAAGTAAGTTCAAGGCAGTTACTGATGCAAACCTTTGACACCAATTGCATCTTAACATTCCATAGAAGACTTCAGTGATTCAGAGAAAAACATTGCATGAATCATAACAGATCAGGCCAGAGATCAGACCCACCTGGTACAGGCCACCAGAAGCAAGATACAAGTGGCAGGATGCATACGGAGAGGCTTATGAATATGACAAGCATTATTACAGTTCTCTCCAGAATATTCTCAGGCTCCAGTTCTTTGTGCCTCACCAATCCTCTGAGCCAAAAGGTATATATCCACACACAAAAAACAAAAGGGCCTTCCCACACACCTCCCCCAAAGTGCCTAAAACTTTCCATAGCTACTACATCTTGCAGCAAACAGCTCCACAGCATAACTACTTTTTTTTCTTAAAGAACTTTGTTTGGAGCCTGCTATTTTGCAGCCACCACTTCTACCAAAATGAAAACTAGGTATGTTAGCTTGAAAATAGGCAAGTCCCTACTTAACTTCTCCAGACTGTTCACAGTTTCAGAATCTGCCATTACATTATTTCTCCTTCAAGAAGGTAATTTCATACTTGCATTCTTTTTCTGATGAGCCTCGGTGGGGCTGGACCAGGGGAAACAGCAATGCGCACAGCACTGCAAACTGTAGACTTGCAATGTACTTGAGCAGTGGCATAACAGTGTTTTTCTCTTCCCAGGATTCGCCAGCTTTCAACTACTGTACAAGGAAATTGTTTAAAAAAGAACCTCAAAAATCCCTTAATTTCAAATTTTAGGGGCAATCCAGCTCACAGCCCATACGAGGTCTACATTACATTAGGATTTCCAAGTCTAACATTCACCTACAAACAATTTTACTTGCTATGACTCAGCTTAGTCCAGAAACATGAAGTACGTCTGCATGTTTTTAGATGTCTTTCCCTTCTTGTGCCACGAGTAGTTCAGTACAACTGAACTCTTCTTGCTATTCATCACTTGTTCTGTTCAATATAACCACAGGCAATTAAGAAAGTCTTCCAGCACAAAACACAATGGGACTTAGTTCTGAAAAGTTATTATTTATTCATACAGGAGCCTTCCTTAAAAAAAGTCCAGAGTGAATAAACAACCAGCACCATTCCATGGAAGCCTACTTTATGAGCCTTTCACGATGACATTTACAAACGCCTTTTCAAAAGTTCAAGCAGGAATACTTATTTGGGATAAAGTCTTCTCCAGATCAGACTCCCTGAAATCATGGACAAATGAGAAGCATTATTTTCCCTTATGAAAGTCTTACTGATTCTTACCATTAGTCTATTAACTATCCCCTGCAATTAGTCTGCAGCTGGCCAGGCATCCTCACTATCTCTTTTGAAAGTCAGTATCAAGGAAACAGCTTACACTCTCCCTATGCTGCCCCTCCTTAGCAGCGCAAGTAACAACTGCACCACAAGTCATCTTAGTCACACAGAAGATTTCTACTGATGGTAAAAGTCAGTATCAAGGAAACAGCTTACACTCTCCCTATGCTGCCCCTCCTTAGCAGCGCAAGTAACAACTTGCACCACAAGTCATCTTAGTCACACGAGAAGATTTCTGCTGATGGTACCATACTCCTATCTTTAAAGCAAGGGCTCTTTAAGACTTCAAATATCCACTACTCCAGTAGTGGATTACAACAGCCACATTATTCATCTAATTTGGGAGGCATTAATTAGCATAGCATCATACCTTCCCAGCTGAGTTTGATAGTTTGGTAACTCCCTCACATCATTACTAGGAGACTGACTATTTGGATGCTTATAATCCATTATTATTTCACTAACTAAAATGAAAAAACTTTTAGACTTTCATCAGTAAGAATTAATTTAACTCCTACAAACACTTGCATATTCATCTTTTATCAAGGGAGAAATCTCTTAAGGTTATTATAGAAGTCAGAGATCAAAAAGGACACCACAGAGAAGTTAAGTAACTCCTCAGAGATGGGGCACTTCAGGTAATTTCT